TCGAACAATGGGAATCCTGAAATGCAAGAAATAAGAATATGTTTCAATGAAAAAATAGATCTTCCAAGCAATTCCCACACTACGTCTATAAATCTCTAGATTGGCACAGCAAAAGTGTGACCCTTTCGAAACCAATCTTATTAGATTAATTCCACGCTGTGCAATCTATGGCAAAAAACAATGATGGCACTTCGATTACTATTACTGAGACTCAACGGAGACCTGCAGTCCAAACTCCACTTCATGTCAATTAAAATATCTACATCTTGATTCACTTATTTGACTACCTAGCAATGCAACAATAGTGGTCTTGAATTTAAAATGCAAAAATCAATAGTTCAAAGCGAGAAGAATGTAACCTCTGAACTTTGCTCAGATTCCGAACTTGTTGATTCTTCACTGGACTCCGCCTTAACTGCCTCAATAGGATCGCGATAAGAACCCTGAAAAAAGAAGCAATTTAATGGCATGAAGTGTGCAGATGATAAATATAAATTTCAAACACAAGTACAATAGAGGAATATTAGACAATCTTAATTCAATTGAATTAGGAATGTGCCCTATATGATAGTATATATCGGATTTCCATGAGCACTTCTTACGACTCCAAACAGCTCTCAATAAGATTAAACCAGTACCAATAACTACTCAGTGAAATCAGCACATCTGACTACCCCAACCTCCACCTCCAACGCACAACAAAAGCTCAGACTGCACTCAAATTTACACTGACTCTGGATATTTCGACCTCCTGAGTTGAAACACGTGTAATTGATACAAGGAAACCATACAGTACAATAATAGGTGAGATGAGAATAAAAGCAAACAGGATAGTTATTTTCTAACTTTTTCTTTACCTTTCCAGCAACAAAAGGAGGAAAAATGCTCAAAAACGGTAGGAAGACCTCTATGTACGATAACATTAGCGTTATGACTACTTAAAATGCAAAAATAGTGATCTTGAATTCAAAATGTAAAAAAATCAATAGTTCATAGCGAGAAGAATGATACCTGAGGAATTTGCTCAGATTCCGGACTTTTTGTTGCCTCACTGGATTCGGCCTTATCTGTCTCAGTAGGATTGCGATAAGGGCCCTAAAAAGACGAAATTCAATGTTGTGAGAGGTACATCGAGCATATTCTCAGCACCACCTCCAACTCAAAGGCACACCAACACTCCTTAATCCAACTTCCCTTCCAATCTCTAAAGCACGAACTGCACTTAAATCCACACTGACTCTGAATATTTCAACCTCCTGAGATGCGAATTCGAGTGTGTGATAAAAATGAATCATTCTAACACAACACTAAAGTTGTTTGGAAGAAAATGAGAGCATCACAGGATGGCTTCACTCATTTGCCTTCTGTGTTTACTATTGAAGCATTCCCGAATGCAAGTTTAACGAGAAAGAGGAAACATCAACTACCTGCCAATTGGTCAGAATGCTACTTGAACTGGGTGGAAAATAGAGGAACTGATAGGAGGAGTTTTAAGTCCGATAACAGTAACAATAACGTTGGCAATAGCAAAGGCATGGAGAAGTGGTAATGACACATTCTACTTACCTCGTTCATGTTGCAGTCACAGTGGTAGTTGAAAATATGAATATGACTTCACCTGATCATACTATAAGTAGGACTCAGAGATGAGATCGAATGAATGCCATGAATTCATGAATTCACCTAGCCAACGACTAACCGATTGATGTTCGTTTAAAATGTTGGACTTTCAATATGTTTGAGATTAGCGTATTTGTGGGACATTGTGGACAGGCATTAGTGTAAAATGAGATGAGGTGTCTTTGAAACTGGAGTAGATATTTTATGACTAATGTCCTAACTCACAACTCATTCAATTAAGAAGCAATCCATTAACTTCACAATCATCACGCCATTGCACCGTGAAATGGAACAAATGAAAATATAAAGTATGGCATCTGATGACATCCCAACAATGTCTATTTTGACTCGAATCATTATCTTGTTTCGGGATTGGCACAAGTCAAAGGCCCTAGCGGTTCCATGGACAACAATAACGGCAATTCGACATTTTGAGACATCATAGTACTATCAGTTGATTTGCGGACCTGACTTCATATCTCAAATGGCACCTTCATATGACTAAACTTCCTACCTCTTGAAATACTTCCGCACTTCTTGACTTCTTTGAAAATGTGGTGTTGATACCACTTTTTAACAAAGTGGAGACACACTTTCTTCGTCTATCCTCACATCCATCTATCCTCGATATTTTCACACCTTTCAACCACAGTTTTGCTGTACAACACGAGCGGTGTGATAATAGCAAACCATGGAAAACCCTGTGATTAACTGACTACTGTGTATGCTACGTTTGATAAATAAGTAGTACACATTTTTTAAAATTAAACAAAGCTTCACATTACTTGCAACGCACAACAGTATTTGTACAACACATAAAATAGCAAGCGAATTAATGGTTCCTCTTTTCTCAATCAATTGGACTAATTTCCTTAATAATAATTCCAGGGAGACAAGGTCTGTGAAGGAGGAGGAGTTTGTGATGGTGGAGCCGACAAGTTGGGTGTTGAACACGTGGAACGTGGAGGATTAGAAGGAGAAGAATCAGGATTGTTATAATATCGAATTCCATAACGCAAGTGGGGCATCGAATCAGGATCACCACTGGAATAATCTGGAGACCCTAAATATTCACATCAACTCACCGTCACTTAAATGCATATGAACATAGTCATCTCACAATCAAAGAACTCACTGCAAGGCGAATCAGGAAATCGATGATCGTAACCGTGAGAGAAATCACCCTCTCTCGACTGCCTTCCAGACATGTCTCGAAGTGACTGTTGCTGTGGTGACCTCAACTTAAATGGCCCCTGGCCTTGAGACTGACCAAATCCAACCTGCTCAACTCGACTTTGCCAAGATTCTGACTTTTTTGATATTTCATTGAATTCGATGTCATCTACCTCAGTCATACTGCAATGTGAATCCTAAAAATAAAGACGCAATTTAATGTCATAAAGGGTACAAGAAGTGACTCCATATCAGGAGAGACGATAATTGTGCTTTTCAAATTCAAGTAGAATCAAGGAATACTTGACAACCGTTATTCTATTGAATGAGGAATATGGCCTCTAACACGATGCGTTTCGGACTTCTAAGAGCAGCCCTTACGAGTCAAATCCTCACAAGGAGCCCTCACAATGGGAAACTACCTTTCTGACCCAACACACTCCATTCTCAATATCAATATTCAAATGCTTACCCATAGGCAAATCATGACATCTGTACTCATCGAACCCATTTTATCTGACTCCTCAAGCGAGCTATATTCTCAGCACCACCTCCAACTCAAAGGCACACCAACACTCCTTAATCCAACTTCCCTTCCAATCTCTAAAGCACGAACTGCACTTAAATCCACACTGACTCTGAATATTTCAACCTCCTGAGATGCGAATTCGAGTGTGTGATAAAAATGAATCATTCTAACACAACACTAAAGTTGTTTGGAAGAAAATGAGAGCATCACAGGATGGCTTCACTCATTTGCCTTCTGTGTTTACTATTGAAGCATTCCCGAATGCAAGTTTAACGAGAAAGAGGAAACATCAACTACCTGCCAATTGGTCAGAATGCTACTTGAACTGGGTGGAAAATAGAGGAACTGATAGGAGGAGTTTTAAGTCCGATAACAGTAACAATAACGTTGGCAATAGCAAAGGCATGGAGAAGTGGTAATGACACATTCTACTTACCTCGTTCATGTTGCAGTCACAGTGGTAGTTGAAAATATGAATATGACTTCACCTGATCATACTATAAGTAGGACTCAGAGATGAGATCGAATGAATGCCATGAATTCATGAATTCACCTAGCCAACGACTAACCGATTGATGTTCGTTTAAAATGTTGGACTTTCAATATGTTTGAGATTAGCGTATTTGTGGGACATTGTGGACAGGCATTAGTGTAAAATGAGATGAGGTGTCTTTGAAACTGGAGTAGATATTTTATGACTAATGTCCTAACTCACAACTCATTCAATTAAGAAGCAATCCATTAACTTCACAATCATCACGCCATTGCACCGTGAAATGGAACAAATGAAAATATAAAGTATGGCATCTGATGACATCCCAACAATGTCTATTTTGACTCGAATCATTATCTTGTTTCGGGATTGGCACAAGTCAAAGGCCCTAGCGGTTCCATGGACAACAATAACGGCAATTCGACATTTTGAGACATCATAGTACTATCAGTTGATTTGCGGACCTGACTTCATATCTCAAATGGCACCTTCATATGACTAAACTTCCTACCTCTTGAAATACTTCCGCACTTCTTGACTTCTTTGAAAATGTGGTGTTGATACCACTTTTTAACAAAGTGGAGACACACTTTCTTCGTCTATCCTCACATCCATCTATCCTCGATATTTTCACACCTTTCAACCACAGTTTTGCTGTACAACACGAGCGGTGTGATAATAGCAAACCATGGAAAACCCTGTGATTAACTGACTACTGTGTATGCTACGTTTGATAAATAAGTAGTACACATTTTTTAAAATTAAACAAAGCTTCACATTACTTGCAACGCACAACAGTATTTGTACAACACATAAAATAGCAAGCGAATTAATGGTTCCTCTTTTCTCAATCAATTGGACTAATTTCCTTAATAATAATTCCAGGGAGACAAGGTCTGTGAAGGAGGAGGAGTTTGTGATGGTGGAGCCGACAAGTTGGGTGTTGAACACGTGGAACGTGGAGGATTAGAAGGAGAAGAATCAGGATTGTTATAATATCGAATTCCATAACGCAAGTGGGGCATCGAATCAGGATCACCACTGGAATAATCTGGAGACCCTAAATATTCACATCAACTCACCGTCACTTAAATGCATATGAACATAGTCATCTCACAATCAAAGAACTCACTGCAAGGCGAATCAGGAAATCGATGATCGTAACCGTGAGAGAAATCACCCTCTCTCGACTGCCTTCCAGACATGTCTCGAAGTGACTGTTGCTGTGGTGACCTCAACTTAAATGGCCCCTGGCCTTGAGACTGACCAAATCCAACCTGCTCAACTCGACTTTGCCAAGATTCTGACTTTTTTGATATTTCATTGAATTCGATGTCATCTACCTCAGTCATACTGCAATGTGAATCCTAAAAATAAAGACGCAATTTAATGTCATAAAGGGTACAAGAAGTGACTCCATATCAGGAGAGACGATAATTGTGCTTTTCAAATTCAAGTAGAATCAAGGAATACTTGACAACCGTTATTCTATTGAATGAGGAATATGGCCTCTAACACGATGCGTTTCGGACTTCTAAGAGCAGCCCTTACGAGTCAAATCCTCACAAGGAGCCCTCACAATGGGAAACTACCTTTCTGACCCAACACACTCCATTCTCAATATCAATATTCAAATGCTTACCCATAGGCAAATCATGACATCTGTACTCATCGAACCCATTTTATCTGACTCCTCAAGCGAGCTATATTCTCAGCACCACCTCCAACTCAAAGGCACACCAACACTCCTTAATCCAACTTCCCTTCCAATCTCTAAAGCACGAACTGCACTTAAATCCACACTGACTCTGAATATTTCAACCTCCTGAGATGCGAATTCGAGTGTGTGATAAAAATGAATCATTCTAACACAACACTAAAGTTGTTTGGAAGAAAATGAGAGCATCACAGGATGGCTTCACTCATTTGCCTTCTGTGTTTACTATTGAAGCATTCCCGAATGCAAGTTTAACGAGAAAGAGGAAACATCAACTACCTGCCAATTGGTCAGAATGCTACTTGAACTGGGTGGAAAATAGAGGAACTGATAGGAGGAGTTTT